GTGGGAGGGTGAGGGGAGGCTGCAGGGGTACGTGGTGGGAGAGGGAGGGGCGAGCAGCGGCTAGCGGGGGCGGGAGCGCGCTGGCCGCATGCAGCGGGATGGATGGTAGCGCGGGACGGGTGCGGGGCAGGGGGCGGGCTTACCATCTCATCAAACAGCGAGCGCACGCGCTGCTGCGGGGCGAGGTGCTGCCTCTGCGGCGCGACGGCGCCGGGCTTCTCGTGCTTGGCGACCTCGGCCTTGTCCTGCTTCTTGGCCTCGTCCTTGAAGGCGCGCACGTTGAGCGGCACCACGGAGCGCACGGCGCGGCGGGCGCCGCTGGCGCGGGCCAGCGAGGCTCCGATGCGACTTGTGACCAGAACGGCCATGATGGCTGTCTTATGTATGGTGCTTGTGTGTGCCGAAAGGGTTGCGGAGCGGGTTGCGAAACGGTAACAGCGTCTTGCTATGAACGTACTCCTTTCGACGGAAATGATGGCGCTTATGTTATTTGACGGCGTGTCTGCGAGAGGGCTAGAAGGCTCTCAGACGCAGACGGGTCGTTTCTAGGTGACGTCAGCGGGTTCTAGAACGCACCCGGAAGCATCCGCGACTATCATGAGACCCCACTTGCGCCTACTGCCTTTTAGATATGCGTTTATATGCGCGACATGTGCCACGCCTCTTCGCCGCGGAAGCGAGAGCCAAAGGCGGGTGCTGTTGCGCCGCCGCCATATCTGATCAACTGCTCTATTACGATGGCAACAGCCGAGGCTCGACAGCACTGTCACAAGCACGCAGGCGTGCAGGAACAGGCACGTTTCTTTCAAAACTTGTATGATGCAGCCACAGCTCCTTGGGCATGGCCACTTCGTTGGGAAGCCCCGCATTGCCAAGCAGGGATATATTCAACTCCTGATGAGCAGAAAGCGGTTCTTGCGCACTGAAGGCTGTGCAAGATTTAGTCCATACAGGCATTACACTGACACCATTGCCTTGGCCTGAGTTGCCTGGTCCTTGGAGCCGTGCTGCAGCGGCGGTGGCAAGACAGCGACAGCCCACCGACGCAAAGGATTTTGCTTGAAACTTGGGCATGGCCGCCACGCCACCTGCTACGCCGATATCATAGCTGCGAGCCGCGAGAGGGCCGTTGCAACACCGATCTTGTCCAGTCACAGATGGGGAATACAGGTGCGGACTAGCGCCGCTGCCCAGCAATTTCCATGCCTTGAACGGTCGGTGGAGCTGAAATGATTGTTTAGGAGCGTTAAGTCGCGAAAGTTCGGCTAAACAAGACCAGACGCCCAAAGTGACCAGGGTGACCCGGGTGACCTGATCTGTGATCTGCATCCATGGCGATGTGCCTGCCTAATCCACAGCAAATAACCGTGTCCTGCAATCAGTTTGCAGCAACTCTGTCTATCGTTCCGTTTTCGCTCTGGGCACGCCACACCAGGTGTCGTGCGGCGCGGGTCCGGTTGTCGCAGGCGCACCGCCTCTTACCATCCTGGCCTATGTACCTAGATAAAATGCACACCTGTACGTCTGTGCATGCACCCTCAAGCACGATGGCTGCGACGGATGTGATCTCAACAGCGCCCCCGTCAATAATTGTGGGCTTCACAGCGCATTCTGACGCTCTCGAGTCTCCATCGCGGGCATCTAGTCTCACGGCACGGCGCAGTCTCCTCTCGGACCTGATGCGTGATGCGATCGTTGGCACAGGCTGCAGCATGAGCAGGGGTGGCAGCAGCAGCGAAACTGTCCCCCGCGCCCTGTACCGCGACGGCAGTGCCTATGGCGACCACGCATACGATTGTGAGGACGACGACGAGGTGCTGGACGAGGAGGAGCTCAGCCTGCTGGAGGACATTGGCGCTGCGTGGTCGCCTTCCTCGTCATCCTTGAGCGCCGCCCCCAGCACCGTCTCCTGCGGCTCGAGGCCGATCGCCATCCCCGCAGCCACGTGAGCACGCGGGCAGCCAAGGCGCGCAGCATGGGTTTGCGCGTGTCGCTCAGCAGGGTGGCAGTCATTGAGTGCATGGGCGTGCGCGGGGTTGGTTGCTCCACTCGTCTCACCCGACGCCATCTCCTCTCTCACCCAACCCCCACACTCGTACCTGGCCCCAGCTACTTCAAGGACCATGCGCAGCGGCGGCACCTGGACAGGCTAAACAGGAAGCGCGCGGTGAGGGGCCGGGCCAGGGAGGGGCTAGAGGGATGCTCAGGCAGCGGGGTACTGAGGGAGAGCCCGCCACGGGCCAGAAATTGAGATATTCGCACCTGTTGTCAGGTCGACGGCTTGCCCATGTCGGCGCATGCCAGATTGCAGCGCTGCCATCGCCACAGCTCAGGCCTTTTTTGGGGGATCCAAGCGCCACGCGTCAACGTGACACCCCAGGGTCAACCAGTCTCCGCATGCCCATGCCGGCCTCCCACCTCACCCCACCCCTCTTGCACCCTCCCATCGCAGTGGTACTCCCAGCAGCAGGAGCAGGAGCGACTCCTCGGCAAGACGGGCGCCAAGTCGGCGGCGCAGCAAGTGCGGCGCTTGGCGCGAGCGTCGCGTAATCTCGGAAGATGCAGTGTCGACCCCCTCGCCACCAGCCCTGCCCGATCCCCATCAGCAGGGGTGGTGCGAGGACTGGGTGCAGGGCTGGGCGCGACCCCGCCTGAGAACAGCCGCAATAAAGTGCGCTTTCGTGCATCTCCACGCCATCACGCCCTCACATTTGGCATCCTGTTCAAACTGTGATTGTTTACCTCCTTCTTGCCAGGTGCCACGGCCCCTTCCAAAGCAGCGGAAGCAGCAATACATTGGCGGCGCCGGCAAGTGATCTGGCCGTCTGCGGCCCTATCGGCCTGTGTGCTTGGCGGTTACTGCCGCATTCTAACCCAATTCCAGCAAGATTCGGGGCGCGGCACCACGTGGCGGCGCACGTGGCGAGGCCCGCTGCTCCTGCGTGCGGCCACTGCCCCAGGCCACCGCTCTTCTCCTCGACCGCGCAACCAATTCTCATGATTCGATGGGTGTGTGTGCGACGCGGGTACACAACAACGTGCTGAAAGATGCCGCGAACAGATCGGTCCTTACACAATATAGCGACGATTTGCGTCGGCGCGCGGGCGGCATCGCAGGGCGCGCCGCCGCCCCGCCCAGGTTTTTGTGCACAAAACAGGAGAGCCAGGGGGGTATGAAGCCCTCCCCCCTCACGCACTTGCCAGCCAAATCTCACTCATATTTGCTTGGCCGGCTACCCGCCGCGTGGCATGCCGCCCAACAAAATTTGCACGTGGGCGCACTCAGACGCGGCGCAGAGGCCATGTGCGCGTGCGCATGGCCGCCTCCATCTCCCTACCCTCTCTCCTATTTGAGCGCAGGGTGTATGCTATGCGTGTACCAATCCACAACACACAACATCACTGGCTCCTAGGCGCTTGCATGCATATGCATGCCACGAGGCCGCCGCGGCCACCACTACAAGGCCCCGGTACCCAGCGTGAATCAAGCCACGGGGCGGGGTCGCTGGACGGCCGCCTGGCGCGCCGACAAGGCACCTAGGGGCAAAGCGGGCGAGGGCACTCCGAGTGCCTCGGCCCGCGGCCGCATTTTGGCGTTATTCAACCTGGTGTGTTCGCAGTCGCTTTGACCTTGCAGTGCCGTCAGCCGCCTGCAGTGTGGTCGTGCTCGCGCGCGCCACAGCCGCGCGTCTTGCGCCCGTGCGGCGCCGCTCCTCCGCACTTTTCGGGGCCTCATGGTTGCCCCCGCTGTGCTGCGCCGTGCTCCCCCAACGTGCAAGGATGGAGTTGGTGCATGCGCCCAACCCAGCAGCTTGCCAGCACTTCCAAATCGAGCAGTCAGGGCACTGCGCCTCCCCCCTCCACCCCTGGGTTCTCGTGAGCCCCTGCATTTAGATGGCGAGTGTGTGTGTAGGCGTACATGTTTGTGTGTGTGTGTGAGTGTGTGTGTGTGTGTGTGTGTGTGTGCGCGCGCGTGCACGTGCACGCACACGTGCGTGCGTGCGTGCGTGCGTGTGTTTTGGCCACACTGCGTACACCGTCGGCGCGTTGAACCTCTCTTGCGTGCACAAGTATCAAGTCTCCCCCTTCACCCTTGAAGGTTGGCTTGTCACAACTTCTTTATTCCACCCACACTTTTGTTGGGTTTCGGGAGGGGAGCATGGGGTGCCTTTGCCTGGTGCGCCTGCACAATTTGCACGTCCAAGCACGTGGCTCCCCTCCACCCCAACATGCCTGCTGTTGGCCCAGCGCTTATGCAAAGCTGGGCTGCCAGCGTGGGGGCCTTGTGGGCTTTTTGCATTGGCTGGAGGGCGCAGCTTGACGAGTCCGGCCCGGGCCACAGGCTGACATGTGAGCATACCAAGGATGCACATATCAAAAGCGGTGGGCCGGGCCCGTGTCCAGCAGGCAGCACCAGCACCCCACCTCCATCCGTCAACCTGCGCAGGCGGGGCTTTGCGCCCCCAAGGTGGTGCTGGCGTTTGCCAGCTCCCCGGCCCCCTGCCTCGCACACGCCCGCCTGCTTCCAGTCACCATTGGCCAGGTTGCACAGGGATGCCCCTTGTCATTGAACCCTTTTCTCTTGCTTTTGCCAACCGTGCTTTGAGGACGGGTCGGCAATTCCCCACCGAGAGCGTTGCCCACCAACAGCTTGGCAGTCGCACCCTGTGAGCCTTCGCTTCACCGACAGTGACCGCAATGCCCCTCGCAACTGCAAGCCTGCCGTTGAAGTTTGCTCCTCATGCCGCTAGCTCATGCAGGTAGCTTACAAGGAAGTTGTAATGCAAGTAGGTGCACATGACAACAGCGCCTGCGCATCACCGGACTGCTGCTCCCAACCGCACTGCCTGCAGCCAGCATCCGCACTCAAGTGTAAGTTCTACTACATGTCTACGTGAAAACAGCGTAATCATCGGTGCTGTGCGTTCCGTCTGTGCCTACAGGTGCGATCGGGGTGATACCGTAAAGCCAAGCGGCCGGTGGGTGGCCAAGGGGCACAATCCTGTGCGTCCTCTTCGCGTTCAACCGTCTTGAGGTTGGTACAGTTTTGGCGGTATGTTGTAGCACCACTCATGTAGCGGCCCTGCGCACGCTCTGCGCTGCCTTCCCGCCAAACACAACCTAGCACAGCTTGATCCAGAGAAGCAAAGCATGCAGCCAGCCAGGGTGATCATCGGTTTTCAAGCCTCTCTCGGCACCGGTGGGCCGCGGGACGGCCAGGAGTTCGTTGCAGCTCGGCCCCAGGGCGGGCTCTCCATGCTCCTCTCCCGGAGGGCTTGTGAGTACAGCGAGGGCTCATACACATCCTCATACTTCAGCGACGGTTCGTGCTATGACGACATCAGCGATGCCGAGAGCGACACCAGCGATGGCGACGTGTGCGCAGAGTCCGGCAGCGGTTCAGCGGGATGCTCCAGCTACAGCAGCTCCCAGCCGATTGCGATCCCCCAATTCAAGGAGCCCAAGCAACGCGCCTGGGCGGCTGCTCGGTACCACCTGCAGCAGCTCGCCGCGCACCAGCAACGGCGCGCTTCGCCGCCAGGTGGCGCGGACCACCAGGGACGCCCGCACCAGCGGCAGCAGCAGCAGCAGCAGCAGATGCAGCAGCAAACGTGCATGCAGCCTCAGCAGCAAAACAGCGAGCGCGCGGGCATCACTCGGCAGGCGGCGCCGGCGCCTGCGGCCGGCCACCTGCGTTGCGAGGCACAGGTGGGCGCCGTGCATGGATGGCGCCAGCGGACTTCCTTGCCTTGCGAGGCCTGCATGCAACACAACTTGCTATAGTCACCAACCTTCAAAAGCATCAGAGGGTTCGTCATGCTGTTGTGCATCCATGTGGTTGCCTGAACCCTATCCCGTCATGGCAACAGCCTCCTCGCAGCCTCCTCGACAAGGGATCAGTCCCTCCCTAAACAAGACCTAATTGAGCACACCCCTGATTCGGCCCTTGCCCCCACCAACATTGTGTGTGCAGGGGCGGCCCACATGAGAGCAAGTCACACATGCACTGAGATGAACGGCCCCTTTGCAAGCAAAACTAGGCAACCGGCCGTCGAGACACGCAAACACTTGCTCTTTGGTCATCTGGAACCCAGGGCACGGAGGCTCTACAGCCGCGGCCCCAACGAAACACCCTGCCGCAGTGGTTCACGGCTTGACCCACGCCGTTATGCGTGCCGCCAAACCCCACCCGCTCGCCAAGCGCCGAGCCGCAGCCACGGCACAATTGCGGCCGCATGCTGGGCATGCGCACTCGCATGGGTGCGCCCACATAGGGTCTCGGGCGCGCGTGCGGCCGGCCTCTTGTTTCAGTTTCAATAAATTACTATCGCTGGAGTGCGCCGATATCACAGGCCGCTGTACCAATCTGCTCGGAGCTGTTTGCACCGCTCTCCTTCACACTGTTTTGGGTGTGGGGTGCGCCCCCGTTTGATGTAGTGATGTGCCGACTTTGTTTTCGCTGTGCGTTGACTGGCGACTGTGCAGGGTCACCCCACCACAGACTGCTTGCCGAAACACAGCCCCGTCATTGTTTATGCTGGTGCTCCGCACGCGCACTCGCCGCACGCCGCGCCGCAACGGCGCGCGCGCGGCAGCAACCGCGGGCGGGACAGCGTGCATGGCGGGCGCAACCGGGTGGGACGTTTGTGAATGGGCGCGGCGCCCTCAAGCGTGGCCTTGGCACTTTCAGGCCGCGTTTGAAATGCAGGGTTTTCAGCACCAGAGACGACACCAGAGTGAGGCTGCAGGCCACTGGCAGGGAGGGGAATCGTATCACTGCATCATTTCAGCCCAGAGTTCCCGGAGGCATGTGCATATTGCCTGCTAGAAGCATACCTTCCCGCAAGGCGCCGAGCGCGGCGGCGCCCCTTGTGTTGCACTGGCACACCTTGTTGCTAGCCTGGCTGGGCCCCATTGTTTGCTTTCGCCGTCTCCTGTTCCCCCCTTGCCCAGCGTTGCTTTTGTTTGCCTTTTACATCCCCAATGCCGCCATTTCCGTGATGCGTTATATTGCCGTCACGCAGGTGCAGGCCACTGGCCGCTCACACCTGTCCATAGCTTGAAGGGGCCAGATGCTGCGTGCGTGCGCCCAAGGCTGCGGTTTCAGCCGTTCGCCCGCCGCGCCGCGTCCGTCCTTGCACCAACGCGCACCAACCTTGCATGCGTGCGCCTAACTTGTGCAGATCGTACAACACACACCCACTCGTGGAGGCCTAATGTGCCCTCTCCCCACTGCCTTCAACAACTGTCCAGGCGATTGTGACGTGACACCACCCCCTTGTCCCGCATCGCATGTGATTGCTGCACGCGACTGCGACCGGGGACTGGAGCATTCTGGCACAGCCTCAGGAGCGCGTCGCATTATGTGGCGCTAGCTAAGGTGTTGCGTGTGCTCCCTGGCTGCGCACCACCAGGCAGCTGAGCAGGCCGTGCCGTGCATCAAGACACGCACTGCCAGGCTCACCAGTCTCTTGCACCGTGTGTCTAGTGTAATTCGTATCAAATTGCATCACTGGCAGTGCCTGCAGACAAGGAAGTCTGGAGGACGAATTGCAGTGTGTGGCAGAGTTGCATGGCACATGCACCTGCAGTCAGCTGCAAAACTTGGGGCGCACATGTGTTGAAGAGTGCCTGCACTGTGGTTTTGTGGGGCTTGCGGAGCGGTTCTTGGCAGCAGATGCCTCGTGGACGAATGGTTACAGCCATTGCTTGTGATCAAGCCACCTGTTGCACCCCGGTCAAATTGGTCCAGCGGTCAAAGGTCTGCACTATGACGAAGACAAGTGGGGGCGAAGGCGCGGGCCATCCCTGGACACAAGCTGCCAGGCCCGCTAGGACACACACAGCCGCCAGCCCAGCTCCTGCGTGTGCTAACTAGTGCGCGACCCCGTTCAAGAGGCGCAACGGGATGGATCAGCAGGCTCAATGAAATCGGCCAAATAGGGGTTGAGCCGCAAGAAATAAACAGACGCTACGCAATCTACCCGCCCGTATTCGCTAACTGCGCCGCCCTGCGCTGCGCCGCGCCGCCCTCATCGCCCCGCCGCATTGGCCAGCAGGTCCGCCACCACCGCGGCCGCGTCCCGCACGACCCCCTCCCCGCTGGCCTCCAGCTCCCGCAGCGCCGTAAGCAGCTGGTCCAGCTCAGCAGAGCTGGTGCCCACCGAGGGGTCTGCCGCCAGCGCCGCGTTTACGGCGGCCAGCACGTGCTGCTGCATGCGGGGCGGGGGCGCGGCGTCGCCCTCCAGGTGGAGGCCGCGTAGGGCGGCGGCCAGTATGGCGGCGCCGTCGTTGGAGAGCACCCAGCCGGCGGTCTCCTGGGGGTACAGGGACACCTGCGCGTGTTTGTGATCGTGGGTGAGAGGGTGCGCGTGCGGTGCGTATGTATGTGTCTGAGTGCGAGCGCTTGTGTTGACAATCGTGTGGGCTTGTGCGTTAGTGAGTGGGTGTGGCATGCAAAATGTGTGCGTGCCCGTGCTGCTTGTGTGTGTTGTGTGTGAGTGTGTGTGTGTGTGTGTGTGTGTGCGTGTGTGAGTGTGTGAGTGTGTATGTGTGTTGGGCAGGGGCAGCTGGGGAGCATGGAGGGTTGATGACGTGAACATGCGGTGGCGAGCCGGGAACGATGCATGACGGACGGCACCCAAGCAATCGCGCGCTGCGCATGCTGCGCGGGCCACGGGGCATGTCCGCACCAGCTCAGCGAGGCACTGGCTGGCCGCCACCGCGACGGGCGCCTCGGGGTGTGAGCACAGGTCCATGAACACAGGGAGCTGCGGGGGCGGATCAGGGGGGGGACCCGGGGGAGCAGGGGGCGCAGGCGCGCTGTCATCACTCATGTCTCGCAGAGCAGGTGAGCAGGCTAGCAGCCCCCCTCGCTCATCCTGCCTGGCGTTGGGGTTGACTCCTCTGATACCCCATTGTCGCGCCGACACGGGATACACAACACCGCCCCGACGCCGCGCCGCGCAACGGGGCCCGGTGGAGGGGAGGGAGGAAGGGGACCAGGACAGCAGGCAACACCCCCCCCCCCCCGCCCCGCCCCTTTCCTTGTTCTGGATCCTGACCCAGCGGCTGGGCCTGTGGCGAACAGGCCGCTGGGTCAGGATCCAGAACATCACCTCAGGCGATGGGGGCTCTCCAGCATGCGCAAAACGTGTCTCCTGCGCACGAGTGTGCGCGCGTGTGGGGTCGCCAGGGGCCCCTGCGGCCCCTGGCGGTGCGCCCACCTGCTGCAGGAACACGGCCAGGACCTCGCCCTGGCTGCTGCCGCCCGCCACCTCGCGCGCGTCGCCGGCCATGATGGCCCCGCACAGGTCCAGCACCGGCTCAAGGAAGGGCTCCACGTTGTTGTGGTGCGCGTACTGAAGAACAGCACACACCTTGTTATTGTTTGGGGGGGGGGAAGGGAGGAATGTGGGGTGTTCACGTGTGCGTGGGTGGGGGGGAGGAGTGGTGGGCCTGAAAGCAGGGCCTCAGCCGAAGGACGGCGTCCAATGGATGGGTACCATCGGGAAGCAGGCGGCTGGGCGGACGGACTGGGCGGTGGTTCGCGAATCTTGGATGCGGCGCTGCGGGACACAAGGGCGCAATATCGGGGCACCGCAACGCACGCCGGGCTGAAGCCGAGCATTGTTTGGGGGCAGCAGCGGCTTCGAACCGCCGCGGCCGCACGCGTTGCCGCCCGCACCTTGTCTGCCGCCCCGAGCGCCTGCAGCTGCGCGGCCCCCATGCCGCCCGCCATGACGAGCGCGCGGCACAGCCGTATGTTGTGTACGTTGTTGTTGGCGTGCTCCAGCGACAGGTAGTCGAAGAACAGGGGCGCCAGCCCCAGGGCGCGCACCTGGCCCACAAAGCCGCTGTTCACCTCCAACACACCGCCCAGCAGCTGGGTTGGGTGTGTGGGCGTGTGCACACATGTGTGTTGGTGTCGGGGAGTTCAAAGCAAGGCTCTGGGAAATGGGGCTCAGGTAGGCAAAGGTGCGGCCTACGGCGCTGCCCCTGGCGGTTGGCCCACCAAATTCGACGCTCCCAGCTGCGCACGTGCCCTGGCTCGTGCGGACGAAAACACCTGCACTCAGTAAGCCGCGACGCACACACACATACACACACTCTCAACCGCACGCGGGCGCACGACCCAGTGCGTGTGACCCAGAAGTCTAGCAGCACAGAGACAACACAAGCGCCCACCCACCCAGCCCCCACCTTGAGGGCGTACAGGGGCATGGGGTCCTCCTGGGCCAGCAGCCCCGGCACCAGGG